GGGGGGAAGACAAGACCAAATGTATAAAAATCAGTTCCGAAAATTCAAATAGAATAATTTCTAAATAATTTTGTACTGTAGACATACTGTAAACAAGGAACTGTTCATATGGACACTTAGTGTGGGCACATTAGCAGAGGGTAGATTTACATCTCAGCTTGCTGTAAACTAAAGTGTTCATTTAGACAAGCCCTTAGACCAGTGGTCCCCAAATTTTTGAGAGTCATGCCTCCCATTCCTCCATCTGCACCACCCTGGAGCCAGGGGGAGTAGTAGGGCCGCAGTGACAGATGGGGATAAAGGGGCCGAGGCTGGGGCCATACCGGGGGTGGGGCCGGAGCCGTGGCCACAGCCAGGCCACGGTGGGGGCCACAAGCCTGGCCTCCAGCCACATGCAGAGCCACACCGAGGCTGGGTACGGAGTCAGGCACGGGGCCAAAGCAGAGCTTGGGTCAGGGTGGGGCTCCCTTCCCACCCCATCAGGGCTGGCCCAGCCCACTGCAGCCCCCAAATGTTCCTCCATGTCCTCCTCCCCCAGGAGGCATGCCCCACAGTTTGGGGACCTCTGCCTTAGACATAGATACGGGTTTATCATGGCACTTGAAGTTAACCAACTAGATGACAGTTCCACAGCCAAAAAAAAAAAAGACTCTTTACTTTTACCATCACTGTGTGGAATTAAAGATCATCAAGGAAGGTGGCAGAGATTTCTTCCTTTATGTCATCTGGCAGAGTCACTGAGATTCCCCTTAAATGCTTAAATTTAGAAACATTCCACTCACAAGCCAGAGAAGCCCGGCTACTGCTCAGTTTAAGATGTGAATCCTGTTAGGTTAACTGTTTCCCCACAACTGAATCTAGATGCATCTCCTATTGATGTTAGCTTCTAAAGCACACTGTGCTGAGATTTATTTTGTCCAACTCTAGTAAACATAGGTCCCTCCTAGTGGGGAAAGGAGCTTGCAGTGCTGGATGCCAATTTAAGAGAATCCTGGACCAAAAAAAAAAAAACAAACAAAACAAACCACCACCAC